GGAGCAGCAGAAGCAGCTCCCCTTCCTCAGGTTCTGCCTCAGCCCCCAGGTGCACCTGCACAGGCTCTGGGACTGGGCCTCAGAGCAGGGGCTGCCACCGCACAGCGCCCCCAGCGGCGGCGGCTGACCCCGCTTGACGGAGGAGGAGGCACTCAGTGCTGAAGCCCCTGGGCAAGGCCAGGAAGGAGGCCACCCCATGGACAAGCCCCAGGCGGTTAAGGTGCCCCTGCTGGACCCCATCCTCCTGCCAGAGATGGTGGGCAGCAGAGAGACTGGCCCACAATGGCTAGACATTCAACCAGGTGGAAATCAAGCCAGTACCCTGGCGAGGTCTCCATCACCTCCAACCTGGAAAGCAGGGCAGCCCTGCATGGGTGTCCTGGGGCCACTCAGTCCTCCTGCTTCACCCTTCTCAAGTAGCCTGTTGGGCCCATAAGGGCACAGGCTTCTCTCAAAAAGAAAAAAAAAAAACAAAACAAAACACACACACACACACACACACACACACACACACACACAAAAACCCCACAACAAAAGCTGCCCTTTTGTGTGGCTCAGTGCTTTGTAAATACAAACTTGTAAGGGTTTTCTTACTTCAAGGTTGCACCCTGGCTCTGGCTCTGCATTCTGTACAAGTCTGTATTCAGAATCTAGATGACCTTTTCCAGCTTGATTTTAAAATACGGGAGCCACCCCAGTAGGGACTCAGGGCAACTGGATTTACTCTCCTACCTGAAACAAAGCAACTGCAAAGACACACAAGATGCATGAGATGCAGATTTCCAAGTTTCTGGGCATCAGGGAAAGAAGAGAGCCTTCCTAGACAGGGAAGCACACAGGTGAGTGGAGCCCTACAGCTGCTCTAAGGAACTGGCTTGAGAGAGTTTCCAAGCGAGGCCACGGGGCAGGGGAACCTGAGGAGGAGCCCAGTGAACCTCCTGCAGCTGAGGACACAGAGCTGTGAGATCCCAGGACGCTGACCCCAGGAGGAGAGGGTTGTGGAAAGTCACCTATCCAGAGCTGTGCGGGGGCCCTTGGGCGACATGCAGTGCAGTTCTGCTCAGGGTCTCCATGGACAGCAAGGTCTGCAACTCGGGGGCAATCATTTGAAAGCAGTAGAGGGAACAAGGCCTGGAGCTCTCGCAGGAGAAATGACCCCTAATCGGGAGACCGATCAGTCATCTGAACTGAACCCACAGCTGATGCAGATGGGACAACCACCAGAAAAGGACATGAGAACATTTGGTGTAAGTGTTTACCGTCCATTGAAAATGTGAAATAGATAAATCAAAAATATAAACAAGACCCCATCTAAGAGATGAAAGTGATGATGTCTGAAAGGAATGTACTGCGAGAGATTGACAGCAATGAGAAAATGTAGGATAGAAATTCTGATAGAATCGTGTTGACTCTGTAGATCCCTGTGAGTAGTATCACCATAGGAACTACAGTAAATGGGCCATACATGTGCACAGTAGTCTTTCTCATTAGGTCTGTAATCTCCTACAACTATGTTTTCTATTATTCAGTGAGCAGGTCTTACTTCTCCTTGAATGAATTGATGCCTACATATTCTACTGTTTGGGGTGCCACTGTCAATGGTATTGCTTTCTTAATCTCCTTCTCCGATCAATCATTGCTAGTGCATAGAAGCACACCTGATGTGTGTATACATGGTCCCCGCAACCTTACAGAATGAGTTTATGGACGCTAATGTTTTTGTGTGTGGATGACGTGAGATTTTCCTATGTTTAGGAGCATGTCCTCTGTAAATAGAGATGCAGGTTGACCCTTGAAGAATGCAGGGTTAAGGGTGCCGACTCTCAAAGTCAAAAATCTGTGTATAACTTTTGACTGCCCGAGACTGAACTACTAATAGTAGCTGTGGACTGGAAGCCTTAGGGAATACATAGTTGACTGATGCCTCTTTTGCAAGTTATTTGTATTCTACGCTGTATACATATAATAAAGTAAGCTAGAGAAAAAAATGGTATTAGGACAATCATAAGGAAGAGAACATATAGTTAGAGTAGTATGCTTTGTTTATAAAAAGGGCACCTGAAAGTGTACACGTGCTGTTCAAACCTGTGTTGTACAAGGTCAACTATAGTTTTATTTCTTCCTTCCCACACGCTATTTACATGCTTGAGGTTTGAAAGATATTCTAGCTCAGGATAGAATTCTATCCTTCTGCGTGCGGCCACCCCTGGATTTTGCCCTCAGTGAGGAGAAGTGACAGATGGGGGGGTCACTTCACCCCGGAGCCTTGGATCAGCACACACAGGGATAGAAAGAGTACAGGAGCCCTTGCTCTTCGCACACCCGCTCCAACTGGAAGGACCCTAGTGTCCCCGGAGGCCATTGCAAGGAGGTCTCAGGGCTCGGGAGCTGCTCCCAGCAGAAGGCCAGAGCAATCTCACTCTCTCACCTTCCCAACTTCCCTCTCTCTTTCCCCCTGCACTCCTTGTTGGCGACATCCCCCCCACCCACCATCCTCTTGCTCCTTTTCAGCATTCCATAGGCATGCCTCTCCCTGCCACCAGCATCCCAGGCTGAGGCCTTGGAGCTCTTCTGGGTGGGGAGCTCATTGTTGTTCCAAGTGTTGCCCTCTAGATATTTCTCCCACACTTGCTTAAATCTAAGTCAGCTGCATGTCACAGACTTGTAAACATTTTTGCCAGCAAGAAAATAGTGGAGGGTGTGTATGCATCTGTGTGTGTGTGTGTTGCCTTGGAAATCGTAAGATGCTGCATCAGGAATCTGGAGTGCCTCCCCTCAGGAAAAGATAGGGGAATTATCTTGGTCCTTGCAGGTCAAGAGCCATTCTGAGCCCTGAGAGAATTCTAAATGTTGGCTGACATTTCCCAAGATCAACCCAGAGACCCTATACTTTCAGTACTTGTTGGGTTTCCCGTGTGTGCTCAGAAGTCCACTGGCTGACAAAAGTTGGCACACTAAGTAGAGAAGTAGACCAAGATACAGAATATTCCCTGGATGACCACATTACTTTCTGCCCTCACTGCAGTCCTCTGAAAATGGGAATGGGCAGTCGAAATACCTTGCGTTCAGTAGAGGATAGGGGGAAAAGTGGAACTTTGGGGTAACAGTTCAAATTATTATATCCTTAGACTCTATTTGAGGGCACGTTGAAACTCTACTGAAAAGTTTTGTGGGCTATGCGGGTGGGTAGGAGGGGTTAATGGAGCCTGCAATTACACAACTCAGTATAATTTAATAACGTAATGTCTTTCCCACTTCACAGGGTTTTTCTAGCATTTTGTCTGATGCCAGGACTGAATCTAAACATATGTGTACTATCCCATTGATTGATTTGCGAATGTTGAACCATCCTTGCATCAGGAATAAATCACACCTTGTCATTGTGGATAATCTTTTTAATGTGCTATTGGATCCTATTAGCTAGGATTTTATGGAGAATCTTAACGTCCACATTCATCAGGGATATTGGTCTGAAATTCTCCTTTTTGGTGGGGTCTTTGCCTGGTTTGGGGATCAGGGTAATGCTGGCTTCATAAAAAGAGTCTGGAAGTTTTCCTTCTGATTCAATTTTTTGAAACAGCTTCAGGAGAATAGGCATTATTTCTTATTTGAAAGTTTGGTACAATTCCCCAAGGAATCTGTCAGGTCCTGGCTCTTGTTTTTTGCGAGGTTTTTGATCACCGCTTCAATCTCATTACTAAATGTCAGTCTATTCAGGTTGTCAATTTCTTCCTGGTTCAATTTTGGAAGTTTATATTTTTCCAGGAATGCATCCATTTCATCTAGGTTGCTTAACTTATTGGCATATAACTGCTGATAATAATTTCTGATGATTGTTTCTATTTACTTGATGGTGCGATCTCTCCCTTTTCATTCATAATTTTATAAATTTGGGCCTTCTCTCTTTTCTTTTGGATTAGTTTGGCCAATGGTTTATTGATCTTATTGATTCTTTCAAAAAACCAGCTTCTAGTTTCATTGATGTGTTCTACTGTATCTCTAGTTTCTATCTCCTTGATCTCTGCTCTAATCCTGATTATTTCCCTTCTTGTGTCTGGAGGTGGATTAATTTTTTGTTGATTCTCCAGTTCATTAAGGTGTAAAGACAGCTGGTGTATTCTGGATTTTTCATTTTTTTGAGGGAGGCTTGGATGGCCATGTATTTCTCACTTAGGACCGCCTTTGCGGTCTGCCAGTCTCATAGGTTTTGGACTGAAGTGTCTTCATTCTCATTGGTTTCCATGAATTGTTTAAGTTCTTCTTTGATTTCCTGGTTGATCCACGCATTCTTAAGCAAGGTGGTCTTTAGCTTCCAGGTGTGTGAATTCCTTCCGAACTTTTTCTTGTGGTCGAGTTCCAGTTTCAAAGCATTGTGATCTGAGAATATGCACAGAATAATCTTAATCTTTTGGTATCATTTGAGCCCTGATTTGTGACCCAGTATGTGGTCTATTCTGGAGAAGGTTCCATGTGCACTCGAGAAGAAGGAGTATTCTGTTGTTTTAGGGTGGAATGTTCTGTATATATCTATGAGGTCCATCTGGTCCAATGTGTTGTTCAATCCTCTTGCTTCTTTATTCATTTTCTGCTTGGATGATCTGTCTATTACTGAAAGTGGCGTGTTAAGATCTCCTTCTATTAATGTATTTATATCAATATGACTCTCTCTCTTGATTAACAGTTTTCTTTCTTTTTTATATATATATATATTTATTTGACAGAGAGTGATCACATGTAGGCTGAGAGGTAGGCAGAGAGAAAGGGGGAAGCAGACTCCCCTGCTGAGCAGGGAACCTGCTGTGGGGCTAAATCCCAGGACCCTGAGATTATGACCTGAGCCGAAGGCAGAGGCTTAACCCACTGAGGCACCCAGGCCCCCCACCCCCGGTTAACAGTTTTCTAATGTAATAGGCTGCTCCCATATTGGGGGCATAAATATTTACAATTGGTAGAACTTCTTAGTGGATAGTCCCTTTAAGAATTATGTAGCGTCGCAGATCGATCTAAGATGGCGACTGTGGAACCGGAAACCACCCCTACTCCTAATCCCCCGCCTACAGAAGAAGAGAAAACAGAATCTAATCAGGAGGTTGCTAACCCAGAACACTATATTAAACATCCTTTACAGAACAGATGGGCACTCTGGTTTTTTAAAAATGATAAAAGCAAAACTTGGCAAGCAAACCTTCGGCTGATCTCTAAGTTTGATACTGTTGAAGACTTTTGGGCTCTGTACAACCACATCCAGTTGTCTAGTAATTTAATGCCTGGCTGTGACTACTCACTTTTTAAGGATGGTATTGAGCCTATGTGGGAAGATGAGAAAAACAAACGAGGAGGAAGATGGCTAATTACATTGAACAAGCAGCAGAGACGAAGTGACCTGGATCGCTTTTGGCTAGAGACACTGCTGTGCCTTATTGGAGAATCTTTTGATGACTACAGTGATGATGTATGTGGAGCTGTTGTTAATGTTAGAGCTAAAGGTGATAAGATAGCAATATGGACTACTGAATGTGAAAACAGAGAGGCTGTTACACATATAGGGAGGGTATACAAGGAAAAGTTAGGACTTCCTCCAAAGATAGGGATTGGTTATCAGTCCCATGCAGACACAGCTACTAAGAGCAGCTCCACCACTAAAAATAAGTTTGTTGTTTAAGAAGACACCTTCTGAGTATTCTCATAGGAGACTGCGTCAAGCAATCGAGATTTGGGAGCTGAACCAAAGCCTCTTCAAAAGCAGAGTGGACTGCATTTAAATTTGATTTCCATCTAAATGTTGCTAAGATATAAGAGACGTCTCATTCGCCTTTGTGCTGTACTTCTGTGTTTATATATATATATATATATATATATATATATATATATATATATAATTTTGGCTAGAGTGTCCACTATCCCAATCAAAGAATTACAGTACACATCATCCCCAGAATCCATAAGTGTGTTCCTGGTCCACTCTGTAATAGCTTAGTAGAATTACCATTACAAACACATTTTACCTATCCACAATATTCAAAAAAGAACTTGCATTTCTATACCTTACAGGAAAAAAATTTTGTTTATGTTCCATTGTATGCAGGAGCATATTTTGCTGGTTTGAAAGAGTATGATGCATACAGTTTTCTAGCAATTTCCTTTGTTTCTTTTTACAGCATTGTCTTTGCTGTACTCTTGCCGATGGCTGCTAGATTTTAATTTATTTGTTTCCCTACTTGATAACATTAGTGATTCTGATTTCAGTTTTTCATTTGTTTTGCTTTTGTTTTTTTCCTCATGTGACATTGGTGAAGGATCCAGGAATATGACACAAAGGTGGAATAAACATTAATTTTGTGCATTCTTTGGTAATTTTTTTGTTTTTTTGTAACTACAAAGCTTTGCTACAAATTTATGCATTTCATTCAAATCAGTGATCTATGTTTATGTGATTTCCTAAACATAATTGTGGATTATAAAAAATGTAACATCATAATTACATTCCTAATTAGAATTAGTATGTCTGTTTTTGTATCTTTATGCTGTATTTTAACACTTTGTATTACTTAGGTTATTTTGCTTTGGTTAAAAAATGACTCAAGTAGAAAAGCGGTCCCATTCATATTAAGACAGTGTACAAAACTGTAAATAAAATGTGTACAGTGAAAAAAAAAAAGAATTATGTAGTGTCCTTCTGTATCTCTGACTACAATCTTTAGTTAAAATCTAGTTTATTTGCTATGGGAATCAGTACCCCAGCCTTCCTTTGAGCCCCATTTGCATGAAAAATGCTTCTCCATCCCTTCACTTTCAGTCTGGATGTATCCTTAGGTTCAGAATGGGTCTCTTGTAGACAACATATGGATGGGTCCTGTTGTTTTAACCAGTCTGCAACCCTGTGCCGCTCTTTGGGCGCATTTAGGCCATTCACGTTGAGAGTGATTATTCAGAGATACGTTTTTATTGACATTGTGTTACCTGTGAAGTCTTTGTTTCTATAAAGAAGAGAGAAGAACCACATGGTCCTCTCAATTGATGCAGAAAAAAACATTTGACAAAATCCAGTATCTGGTCCTGATTAAAATGCATCAAAGTATAGAGATAGAGGGAATATTCCTCAACTTCATAAAATCTATTTATGAAAAACCCACAGCAAATAGCATCCTCAATGGGAAAAAGCTGACTGCCTTCCCGTTGAGATCAGAAACACGACAAGGATGCCCACTCTCACCACTCTTGTTCAACATAGTATTAGAAGTCCTAGCAACAGCAATCAGACAACAAAGAGAAATAAAAGGTATTCAAATAGGCAAGGAAGAAGTCAAACTCTCTCTCTTCACAGATGACATGATACTTTATGGATACTTTATATGGAAAACCCAAAAGACTCCATCCCCAAACTACTAGAACTCATACAGAAATTCAGTAATGTGGCAGGATACAAAGTCAATGTACAGAAATAAGTTGCTTTCTTATATGCTAACAATGAAAATACAGAAAGGGAAATTAGAGAATCGGTTCCATCTACTATAGCACCAAGAACCGTGAGACACCTGGAAATAAACCTAATGAAAGGGGTAAAGAATTGGTACTTGAGGAACTACAGAACACTCAAGAAAGGAATTGAAGAAGACACAAAAAGATGGAAGACCATTCCATGCTCATGGATCAGAAAAATAAACATTGTAAAAATGTCTATACTGCCTAGAGCAATCTATACTTTCAGTGCCATTCCGATCAAAATTCCACCGGCATTTTTCAAAGAGCTGGAGCAAACAATCCTAAAATTTGTATGGAATCAGAAGAGACCCCGAATTGCTAAGGAAATGTTGAAAAAGAAAAACAAAACTGGGGTCATCACGTTGCCTGATTTCAAGCTTTACTACAAAGCTGTGATCACCAAGACAGCATGACATAAAGTGGTCTATGTGTCTGGCATAAAAGCAGACACATAGACCACTGGAACAGAGGAGAGAACCCAGATATGGACCCTCAACTCTATGGTCAGATAATCTTCGACAAAGCAGGAAAAAATATGCAGTGGGAAAAAAGACAGTCTCTTCACTAAATGGTGCTGGGAAAATTGGACAGCTATATGTAGAAGAATGAAACTCGACCATTCTGTTACACCATACACAAAGATAAACTCGAAATGGATAATAGACATCAATGTGAGGCAGGAATCCTTCAGAATCCTAGAGGAGAACATAGGCAGTAACCTCTTTGATATCAGCCACAGCAAATTCTATCAAGATATGTCTTCAAAGGCAAAGGAAACAAAAGCAAAAATGAATTTTGGGGACTTCATCAAGATCAAGAGGTTCTGCACAGCAAAGGAAACAGTCAACAAAACAAAAAGGCAACCCAAGGAATGGGAGAAGATATTTGCAAATGACAGTACAGACAAAAGGCTGATATCCAGGTTCTATAAAGAACTTCTCAAACTCAACACACACAAAACAGATAATCATGTCAAAAAATGGGCAGAAGATGTGAACAGACACTTCTCCGATGAAGACATACAAATGGCTAAGAGACACATGAAAAAATGTTCATCATCACTAGCCATCAGGGAGGTTGAAATAAAAACCACATTGAGATATCACCTTACACCAGTTAGAATGGCCAAAATTAACAAGACAATAAATCATGTGTGTTGGAGAGGATGTGGAGAAAGGGGAACCCTCTTACACTATTGGTGGGAATGCAAGTTGGTGCAGCCACTTTGGAAAACAGTGTGGAGATTCCTTAAGAAATTAAAAACAGAGCTTCCCTATGACCGTGCAATTGCACTACTGTGTATTTACCCCAAAGATACAGATGTAGTGAAAAGAAGGGCCATCTGTACCCCAGTGTTCGTAGCAGCAATGGCCACAGTCACCAAACTGTGGAAAGAACCAAGATGCCCTTCAACAGACGAGTGGATAAGGAAGATATGGTCCATATGCACTATGGAGTATTATGCCTCCATTAGAAAGGAGGAATGCCTAACTTTTGTATCAACATGGATGGGACTGGAAGAGATTATGCTGAGTGAAAGAAGTCAAGCAGAGGGGGTTAATTATCATATGGTTTCACTTTTTTGTGGAGCATAAGAAATAACACGGAGGACATGGTGGGATGGAGAGGAGAAGGAAGTTGGGGGAAATTGGAGGGGGAGATGAACCATGAGAGACTATGGACTCTGAAAAACAATCTCAGGGTTTTGAAGGTGGGGGCGGTGGGAGGTTGGGTGAGCCTGGTGGTGGGTATCATGGAGGGCACGTGTTGCATGGAACACTAGGTATGGTACATAAACAATGAATTCTGGTACACTGAAAAGAAATTTTAAAAAATAAAAAATATATATGTATATGTCAATATTGGCTCATTTGCAGTGAAGTTAACATAGTAATATAAATTGTTCATAGTAGAGAAACAGGGTGAGGAGTATAGAGGAAGTGTCTGTACCATTTTTGCAATTAAAAAACTTATGTCTAAAATTAAAAGTTTATTAATTAAAAGATGGAGGCTGATATAAGGGCTTCATAAAGTGAGGACTTACAAAAGGTTCCAGAAAGAAGGCTATTTTGAAGCTATCTTGAAAGGAAAAAAGTATCTTGAAAGCGTTCTTAGAAGGAAAAAAAAGAAACAAAGTTTCCCTAAACTTTGAAGAATTTTTTTTAAGATTAATTGAAGAGGTCTGTGAATAATCATTTAAGTGAAAGTTCTAAGTAGTTTTGTATCTGGTTCATTTTTTCCCATGAAAGTGGTTTAGAAAATAAGTAAATAAATAAACATATGTGTAAAAAGAAGTTTATATAAAAACAGTGTACAAAGCACACAACACTAAATTTGACAGTACCGTTTCCTAATGGTGCTCTAGGCTGGCTTATGACTGCATGTAGCCACATCATGGCTGACTCTGAATGCAGCCCCTTTCTAGGCAGTTGTATACTCATCCTTGGCCCCACCTGCAGGCTAAGCAGTGCCTCTGAGCTGGGTGCATCACTGGGGGAAGGATGTTGGTCAAATAGGTAATGAAGGGAAATGGGGGGATGGGGAGACAGTAAAAAGAAAGCATGCTCATAAGTGGAGGGGCCGGGGGTTCCAGAGAGTATCGTGCTATTTCTTCTAACAATATGCATAGCTCTCTGTCAGAAATCCGGCAGTGAGGAAAGAGTAATTCCGGGAGAAACCAGTGTACCCTTTGGCTTTGTCAGGAAGTAGACTTGAATTCCTGCTGATTTATAAGCTGTGCCTAAAAACTCGCCCTAGACAATTTGGGGAAGAGAGGAGAAACTGTGTTCCTTTTCGGTGTTACGATTTCCCTTCAGTGGAGCTGGCTTTGGAAACAAATGTGTTCTGGCCCAGTATGTGGGAGAAGATATTTGCAAACGACATATCAGATAAAGGGCTAGTACCCAACATCCATCAAGAACTTATCAAAATCAACACCCAAGGAACAAATAATCCAATCAAGAAATGGGCAGAGGACGTGAACAGATATTTCTACAAAGAAGACAACCAGATGGCTAACAGACACGTGAAAAAGTGCTCCAAGACACTCCGCATCAGGGAAATACAAATCAAGGCCAGAATGTGATACCAGCTCATGCAGGTCAGAAGGGCTAAAGTTAACAAGTCAGGAAATGACAAATGCTGGCGAGGATGCAGAGAAATGGGAACCCTCCTATCCTTCTGTTGGGAATGCAAGCTGGTGCAGCCACTCTGGAAAATGGCATGGAGGTTCCTCAAAAAGATGAAAATAGAGCTATCCTATGACCCAGCAATTGCACTACTGGGTATTTACTCTAAAGGTAAAAATGCAGT